AATGTATATAAAAAAGCTGGCAAAGCTAGTGCCCCCTTGTGGCATGTGCATGTCGATGTGGATGCATAAAAACTGCCCACATGTTTCACCCCTGAACGAATGGTGCAAAATCTGGTAAAAGTTTGAAAATCGACCGACTTCCCAATATATGTGGAGCAGTGGACGTGAGATATGCCTTTTTGAGTAGGTCTATGGGTGAGGTTGGAAAAGATACCGTAATTTTTTCCTTTTTATAAACATAGGCTCTGATTAACGTAATGCTCTCACAATCCATAAAACAAGGGACATCATAGCGTATCGAAAAGCGCTCAAAAACACGTTATATTCTTATGTCAGGCAGATTTTGACGAACGAAAAACAAAATTACATGAATGGAAGTCACGCGCACGTGAATCAATCATGTGCGTCTTTTCAAGGGTTTTTCCCGACCAACTCTGTTCACTGGGCATTGCTCCCCGGACTGGCATCGGTGGTCGGCCACGTTCCGATGGTGAATGTGTTGGCGGTCCACCGCCACCGCCGCCGCCACCACCACCACCACCCGATCCACCCTTATCACCGATCAGCTGCACACGAAATGCATTCCACTTGAACGGCATTGATGGATTGTACGATGCTTCCACAATCACACGATCACCGGTACGAGGCAGAGCACCGCGTACAACACTGAAATTTTTGTGATTTTGAGGGAACCTATAGAACTTTTCAGCAAACTATTCGGCCGAAAAAGAAAAAAAAACTCAGAATTGGCCTAAATGACAGTCTTTTGCCAGCAAAAATTCAGCTTTAGAGGGTACCTAGATCTCACGTGCAAGCAAATAAGTGCTTAGTCTGGAGCACTTTGACATCCAATTAACTCGGTAGCCAGACCGAACAGGAAGCAGTATTTTTCTGAGGATGTTTGCTGTTCATATGTGGGCCACTGGCAAAGTTATCAATTGACTAATGCTATCAAGTTATTTTACATATTGCCAACAAACAATGTGTGTGTGCATAAACGAACAACAAACGGTAAATCTTAGAGCAGTAACAGTCAAAGTGAAACACACATTAAACAAGTCATCTACTTAAATATGCAAAAGGATATTATGCTGGGTGATCAACGAACGACGGAAAAATTGGCGCTATCTGTGGTACCAAAGCCACACTGCTCAATTCTATCAGCGGGACGAAACTAATCCCCCTCATCTGCTCTAGTAGCAAACTGATTGCCGCCAGATGGCACCCAAATAACCACTGAAAATAACCACTTTCAACTCGAGAACCAGAAAAGCTAGAAGGTTGAAACTTCAGGAGTACATGCCCACACCATGCGCGACCCTTCCCTTTTAACACCATCATCCGCCTACGTCTGGGTGCTGCGTACGGGCGTCTTCCACCTCAGTTTTGTCAGGAAGTAACTGCATTTGCTATCACTCGGGCTACTTTCGATACCTTTATTTCTCAATAGGGGGCTGAATACAGAAGTTTTAATCGCATCGAAGAAAATTTAGAAAATGTGGAAAATTTATTTCAGAAAGTATAGTTCGGCGTACAAACGGCCGCAAAAAAAAAACCCACTTTACAAGTTTACTCTTTTCAAGGGCTCAGATACTTCTATTTCAGAAGTCCCTTGTTCTTGGTGTAATGTCGTATCGCCGAAAAAAAAGGACTAAACAATCCTGCTAATCTTATTACGCATGTATGCATAAGCAAACGAGGTTGCTCATATCTAAAATCTGCCTAAGTCTCATTCTTCACTGACAGAAAGAGACCTTCCGGTCCATGCAGGAAGACAGTGCGCCTTAAACCAACGTTTGCATAAAAATATTTTGGATCAGTCCCGATATTTCGTCTTGCCGCTGCCGTCTTGATCTTTAATTATCACTTTGCCATGACTCTTACCGCCAGTTCTACTGCCCTGACCAGGCCACGCAGCAGAAAAAAGGTTCTGTGAGCAACAAAAGGCGGAACGAGAGGAAGTAGGGGAGGGGAAGGAGGAAGGGAGAGAAGGAAAAAAGCATACCTGACTTGGAAGAATACGTCGTCATCGATGAATCCATAACTATCGTGCATTTTTGTGACAACACCCGAGAAAGTACGATTCTTTTGCTGGAAAAATTTCTTGCATTCAACGGTCAATTCATGAGCTCCATGCCCCTTCTCTTCTCCCCCCCTCCTCACTCCACCACCATTTACCCTTTCTCTTTCTGTTCCAAAACTATAAAAAATGCCCC